ATGAATGAGGTGTACACATGCTCTCAGGGGAACATGCCAACTCGAGACTGGACAACGAAGTGGCAAAAGATAGTGACCACAGCAGGTTTCGACTTGACATTTCCAAATCAACGATCCGAGTTCTTCTCGCGATCATGCGCGGGATTGCGGTCGRCACTCGGTAATGAGTACGACTATACCACATTCCAGGGCATTCTGGATCGAGCGAACTTGGTCATCCAAACGGACGACAAGGCCGCTAACGAGAGACAATCCCGGCCGCACTATGTGGCTAAGCAGGCCTATCAACGTCCGGCACATAACAATGTCGTGATTTCTGAGGAAACCGACGACCACCACGCTGCAGCAGCATCCTGGAGTGATGGAGGAATTGTCGTAGCGCTCCCGCCCAAGCGTCCCAAGAGAGTTCGAAAGAACAAGGCGACACAAGAGACGGCAGCGACGGGAGCTGGGCAGCAGCCATGGACGGCATATAAGATCACCAAGGAGGTCTATGACCTGCGTTAGAAGTACGGATACTGCCTTTGGTGCAACGGAGTCACTCATGTGACCGCACAATGCCCCGAAAAGGGCAAGGCACGCGTACCCCGTCCAGCAAACTCGGGAAACTGAGTTACGCAAGGAGAGGGGCGACRTYTCTCCTCACTCCGCCGGACCCGGTTGCCTTGCTAGCAATCGATGTCACTACCGGGGAGAATGCGTTAGTCGCTGATTCTCGTGCTATGTACGAGGATTATGCCGCCCAGCTGGTACCACCATTAGACCAGCCAAGCCACGTGTACTTAGCTAGCGTATGCGCAGCCTGTACACCGTCGGCAAGTGATCCGGTCAGTTCGCCACTGATTTCTGAGGACTCGACGGCGTGGTCAAGACTGGAGGAGCTTGACCCGCTCACGAGAGAGGATTTCGCTTGGATACCTCTACCCTCGACCGGAACATTGCCAAGGCCGCATTGCAACGCCTTGATGGCAAATCTACGCTTCTACTTGCACACTACAGTACCAGCTCCGTTGACGGACGACGGGGTAGCGGTTGCCGATCTCCGCTCCTATCTTGCGAAGATCGACTGCGAGCACGCCACCCAAAGGTACGCCGAAACCGACGCACCTTTGCTCTATATCCGCATTCAAATCGGAAAGGCAACCTGTAGTGCCTTGATTGATTGCGGAGCGTCTCGCAACTTCATAAGTCAAGCCTTTATGGCCCGCGCAGGTTTTGGCCCGCGCGTTCGAAGGAAGACGCAACCTACGCAAGTTACACTCGCGGACGGCCGCACGCAAAAGTCAATTGACCGATGCGTTGACGGCGTTCCGGTCTACTTTGCGCCACTTGCGTGTGAGCCGGTGTCTTTTGACATCCTCGACACCAAGTTCGACATGATTCTAGGCATGTCTTGGTTGCGTAGCGCCGATCATCCGGTGAACTTCCATGACCGAACCATTCACATCCGTGATCGGAACGGAGTGTTAGTCCCATGTACGGTCGCGACCCCTCACACTTCGATTGCTTATCACGTGGTTTCCATTGCGCGGATTCGCGACGCCATTGCTCGGAATGACGTCGAGGAGATGGGCCTTGTATTCTTGCATGCTCTCCCCTCGCCGGACGCACCAGCCGCGTCACCGCCGGACCCACGCATTTCTCACCTCTTGGATAGAGACGTCTTCGAGGCTCCCACCGGAACGGTTCCGGATCGGGCCATACGTCACGGGATCACTCTCGAGGCTGGCGCCGTCCCTCCGCGTGGATGTATCTACCGCATGAGCGAAGAGGAACTCGAGGWGCTTCGCGCACAACTCGATGATCTTCTCAACAAAGGTTGGATTCGCCCTAGTTGCTCGCCATACGGTGCACCTGTTCTCTTCGTCCGGAAGAAGAACAAAGATCTACGGTTTTACATCGACTATCGGAAACTTAATGCACAAACCGTAAAGAACGCCGACCCTCTCCATCGGATTGATGATCTCCTTGAACGGTTAGGCGGCGCGACGTACTTCTCGAAGTTGGATTTGAAGTCAGGTTACCACCAGATTGAAATCCAGCCTCAAGACCGGTACAAGACCGCGTTCAAGACGCGGTACGGACATTTTGAGTGGGTCGTCATGCCATTTGGACTCACCAATGCCCCCGCAACGTTTCAAGCAGCAATGACGACTGAGTTTCCCGACTTGCTCGATCGCAGCGTCCTCATCTACCTTGATGATATCTTGGTTTATAGTAGGACGTTGGACGAGCACATCGTACACCTTCGCGTTGTTTTGAATCGTTTGCGACTAGCCAAGTACAAAGCGAATCTCGACAAGTGCGAATTCGCTAGGCAAGAGCTTGAGTACTTGGGCCATTTTGTCAAGCCATCGTGAATTGGCCGGAAACCCGTTGCACGACGGATGTATGTTCTTTCATGGGTTTGGCTGGATATTATCAGCGATTCGTCGAATCATACTCGAAAGTGGCCACTCCTTTGTCGAGACTTCAGTCCCCGAAGGTGCCCTTCGAGTTCGACGACGCAGCCCGTGGCGCGTTCAGTACGTTGAAGGCAGCGATGCAAGCCGCACCTGCCCTCCGTATATACGACCCCACCCTACCCACCCAAGTGACTACGGCAACTTCGGCATACGGTATTGGTGCGGTGTTGGAACAGTGTCACGAGGACGGTTGGCATCCGGTTGAGTATTTCTCCCAAAAGGTGCCTCTCGTCAACACTCTCTTACGTTCGTCACCATTCTCAAACGGTGGCGCCACTTTCTTCTCGGCCGTCGGCGGTTTAAATGGAATACGGACAACAATCCGTTGACCTTTTATAAAACACAGGACACGGTCACTAGCACGATCGGTCGATGGATGTATTACATCGACCAGTTCGATTTTG